GATATTTCCATACGGTTTTGTCTGAGAAGTAAGGTTACAAAAAAAGTTTTAATAAAAAAGTTTATAACATTTAAGCGACGATGTGATTTTAAAACAAAGTTAATTGAGTTCCATTTTTATTAGATTAGCAAAACAAACTTCCTTATTTGCAGTCTCCGGGCACCAGCTTAACAATTTCATGAGGGTTAGAATAAATTATATTATCGTCGTCGTCAAAAGTGAGACCAATGTTTCTGATGTCGGCAATCTTTTCTAAGCTATGGTTTGTTTTATTAGCTATATAAATTGCATCTTTTCCACAAATATGAGCAACTCCTCTATTATTTACTTCAATGCACCGATAATTATTGATTCGTGTTATTAAAATACAATCCGTGGTTCCGTTTCTTATTAAGTATAAACCCGTTGCGTTGGTTATGAAGGTATCTTCGTGACCGTCTACAGCGTATAGAAATATTTTTTCGTGAATGTGCTTTTGGCGTATAACCTTCACTTGAGTATCTTCATTTAGACATTTATATAAACGCAGTTGAGGATAGCTAATAAAGTACAATTCCTTTTTAAAGAACATGTCCCAAATATTAAAGCCGTTGACTATTTTTTGTTTCATTACCTTCCTTAAGTGACACCTCGTATATGCCTAGACTGCCTTCAAAATAAATCTTACGATTGAGATCATCGATTGCAGTTGCGTAACCATTATCAATATTTTCTTTGACTCTGTGTTCCAGTTATACGTGGTAGAACCATGCTGCAGTTATATTAGTAGTATAGTTGTAGCACGAATGGGTCGGCTCGACCGGGGAAGGACCACGCTCTCACAGAATACCAGCGTGAAATAGTAGCTTAATGCTGCTGTATTTCGTATGGTGAGTGTAGAGAACCGGAGACCCTTTTTACTGGAAACGAGGCATTCCATCTTAGTCCTCACGGGTGACAACGCATCTGCATTTTGATTCGTAATCGAGGATAGATGTAGATGTCTATGGGCCACAGCAACCACTTACCATCAGGTGGGCTGTGTGCTCGTTTGTCACCCTATCCTATAAAAAAAAAGTTGTCCGCTCTCGATATACCCTATACCGAATCGACCTTCTTCATCCTTTCCTATGTTGTAACTAAAATAAACTCGGTGTCGATATTTATCATAAGACAATTGGTATGAACGATCGAAATTTTTAGTTAAAATGTCTTTTCTATGAAATTTATTATTTATATGGAGTCCATCGCAGTTTTCACCTTTTATATATTTAAAATAAATAAAAACAACTATACAAGCTATAATTATTAACCGCATTTCGACGGAAAGAGTGTATAACTCGGTATGCTTTGTACGACGTTTTAGATGTGTATTCGCGAATGATCTAGCTCATTGCCGTGTTATGTATTTTATACAATGACTCATATAATCTGGGTGTAATTAATAAGGATCGATTTTGTGGGCGTATGTACAACGTACTGAACCAGCGAGCTCCCGCAGTTTTGATCACGTGTAATTGGAAATTGTGGCAATTTTGATTATAGTTGTTTTCTGAGAAACTATACTTTTTTAGGATAGGTGTACCGTACCGTAAATACTAACGCCGGGTGCAAACACAACGCTACCCGTGTACCCATAGACTTAATAAATATATTTATATTACTGTGCCTATTAACATTCAAAGTTTGAAGTCTCTAATAATTATAGTTACGGAAATATGGCAACTTTAAAGCAAAAAGATAAATCCTCTATTCCTATATTTAGATGTGAGTAAAATCATAATACGAGTACAGAGCACTGCATTAAGATAAGCATCGAGCTGAATATTTTATCACTTAACACCCAGTCTCGATGGGTGCCTACAATGCACGTGTTCCCAAAAGAAGGTTGTAAATCTACCTTGGAAATAAGTGACCAGAATTTGCGTGGTCCGAAGAACAAGGAGGAAAGGGAATGAAAAAAAGGAATGATTGAGACTGCCAATTCCAACAGATATTGGACCTTTAAGACTACCAAAGCCTTCTTCGTAATTGCAACTTCGTTAGATATAGCAAGGATGGCTTCTTCATAGAGGAGTTTTACTCATAGCGGGGTTTCTAATTTTTTGGAATTTACTTCGCTAGTCTACAGAAATTTGCAGCAAACGTGGCAGGAAGTATCGTAGTCAACCTAACTCATAATGTAGGTAGAAATTTTCCTCCCTCTACCACTCTCGCTACCGTTTTACACATGGTTCTTTCGGTAAGCCTTTATCACCAGATGTATAGGTACATTCTCCTCCGTGTTACTTCTCCGATAGAGCCGGCCCATTTACACATCATCAAAAATGCGTGATTTTACCACATAAATCTTGCTTGCCAGGCTGACGCAATTTAGTCTTTAGCAATCTTTGGCCTGAATCCAGAAGTGGACAATATAGATTGTTGATGATGATTGAGTCCTATTTCAAATTGACTTCGAAATGTCACATTCATTTCAGTGCCTGAAGTTTAAACCCTGTATCAAGGCAAAACATACTAGGACATTAGCAGTCAGCAGAGATTTACTTTCAACGAAAGAATGGACAGTTATTTATCTCGCTTTTTTAGAAGAGGTATGAAACCAACCGATACCAGTAGCGTCCTTAGTTCGTTTTTTAGGGTTCCGTAGTCAACTAGGAACCCTTATAGTTTCGCCATGTCTGTCTGTCCGTCTGTCCGTCCTCGCTTAATCTCTGTGACCGTTAGCACTAGAAAGCTGAAATTTGGTACCAATATGTGTATCAATCACGCCGACAAAGTGGTAAAATAAAAATTGGAAAAAAAATGTTTTATTAGGGTAGCCCTCCTACATATAAAGTGGGAAGTGATTTTTTTTTTAATTTCAACCGCAACGTGTGATATATTTTTGGAAAGGTATTTAAAAATGAATAGGGGTTTACTAAAATAATTTTTAATAATGTCAATAATTTCGGAAATAATCGCTCCAAAAGTAAAAAACAATGTGTCCCCCCCCTCTAACTTTTGAACCATAAGTTTAGAAAATATGAAAAAATCTGAAAAGTAGAACTTTATAAGGACTTTCTAGGAAAATTATTTTGAACTTGGATGGAAACAACAGTACTCACTACCGGGAGCAGTTGCAGGAGCGCAGAGCGCTGCTGGAACGCGAACATAATGGATACCCACCTTTAAACTCATAAGTGGGAACACTTATCGGACGGGAAACTACGGAACCCTACACTGAGCGTGGCCCGACACGCTCTTGGCCAGTTTTTTGTTTTCTTCTTTTTTTACAGTGTGCAGTTTCTTTTCGCACAGTATTCATATAGAGCAAAAATTTAAAAATTTGTTTGCATTCGTAAGCGAATAGCAAAGGCAATTAATGAAAGTACCCGGTTGACCGAGCTTTGCTCGGTATTTTTCGCTCGGCTTTTTTTTAATTCATGTATTTTGGAAATTATATTTAGATACAAATTATATACTGATGAAATACGAATAATATTTTTTGATCTTAGCGACATAATAGAAAAAAAAATGAACTGGTTATTTGAATAAAAAATCATGAGTGCAGTTAGTATAATTTAAATTTTCGTGTTTTTAAAAAATACTAAAATAAAGGCTCGAAAAAATAGATTTTCTCAAAAAAAGAAAGGAAATTGAAAAAAAAATTAAAAAAAGTCGGTCGGTGTGGGCGCGAACCATGGTATTACGATTCTGTGACCGCCCTATACACCAGTTAAGCTATTTGTAATCATTAATAATCTGTCAAAATTTACCTTCTTATGATATTGTAGCAATTTTTCATTGCCTAAAAACACGGACAAAAAGACATTTTCTAAAAATAAATCCTAGCTAGATCGATTTATTGCCCCCGAAACTCCCTGCACACAAAATTGTATGAAAATCGTTGGAGCCGTTTCCGAGATTCCGATTATATATATATACAAGAATTGCTCGTATAGGATAGTGGTAGCGAATATTCTTTTGCATCCCTAATTCCTCATTTATTTCCAAGGAATGCAACAAAGCAGTCCTGCGCTACTTGCATCCATCGTTCTCCTGCATCACTTACCAGCTTGTCACTGCATCTAGTAGCAGGCTCAGTTCTTTGAGCTATATTGCTGGACCACTACCCCTTGCGAACTTTTTTTTTTATAAAAGTGAAGTAACTAACGAACTTACAGTCTAATTGATGGTAAGCTGCTACCGCCAATTTTAAAGAAGCCACAAATGAGTTGTCACTTCTGAGGACTAAGATGAAATGCCTCACAGCTTGTAATTAAACTGGCTCTCTATGCCCTTCAGACCGGAACACAGCAGTGCACGCACTCCTGTTTGACCGTAGAAATATGTAAGAGGCTGGTATCAACCCAGACAGACTTCCAAACAGAAAAAAAGTCCTACCACCTTGTAGCCACCATTCAGCAGTTTACTATTCATGTTATGCGTACCGCCTATTGTAAAATGTAAACTATCAAACTTTCATTACAAAAAGTAGAAACCAAGAACTTGAAGTTGATTGAACCGAGTAATTTTTTTTATAATTATAAGTTTTTAAATTATAATTTTTTTTTATTATAACACAATAGAAAAGCCTTTTTATCATTTGTTATGGGAAATAAAATAAAGATTAAAATTAAATGAGTAAATAAATCATTTTTAAAACCTTGCGCAAACAGCGGTCAACGACATATTTAAGAAAATGTGAAAACGTCGCGAATTCGTCCATAGAGATCGTTGTAACTAGGAGCTCATAAATAAAAGAAAATGCATGTAACGAGGGGACGATACTTTGGAAGGGTGGCAAAGGGATATCGAAGAGGAATAGCCAAGGTGTCTCTTTACATTTCTGTGCTCCCAGTATTATGGTAAATCCGTGAAATATTTTTGCTATTCAAAAATGTCAGGGGCTTGATCAATTAAAATTAATTTTTAGTGTTTGAAACTTTATTGATAATTCGAAGTAGGTACAATTATTAAAACTTACATACAATAATTATAAATAAATTTAAATGACTTGACTATAAAGTATTTAGTTGTTAAACTTCACATGCGCCTGTCGATGACACTGTCACAGTACCTCTTACATATGTAACACCGTCTTTGCAATCGCATGCATCCTGAAATAAGAAATCATATTTAGCACCTTTAATTATTTTAATTCAATTATACCTCAGATTTTTCGAAACCTATGTTGGAAAGATAACCATTCGTCGCCGCAGAGCACTGCAACTTTTTATCCAACGCCTTTTTTTAAATAATTTGTCTCCAAAATAATGGAAACAATAATTAACTATTTAACTGCCAGCTCATGTACGGTACCGGACGGACGGTACGGACCGCCAGTACGGTTTCCGTCGGGGTCGCTCAGCTGGTGATCTTTTGAGTAAACTAACTCATAGATGGGCGTAGGCAGTAGAGTCCAGGGGGGAGGCGTTTGCCGTTAGTTTGGACAAAGGCCCTTGATCGGGTTAGGCACGAAGCTCTTCTTAGGAAGATTTGCTTCCCTATGGACTTCTCGAGAAATAGTGCAACTGGATCACCAGTTCTCTTGCAAATCGGAGCATCAAAGTCGTAGTAGAGTAGACGGTGCATGCTCCAATTACAAGCTCATTAACGCTGGTGTTCCACAAGGCTGCGTGCTATCACCAACGCTGTTTCTTCTGCATATCAATGATATGTTGCAAATCGGTAATATTCATGGCTATGCAGACGACAGCAGTGGTGATATTTTACATAGCGGCCAAGCCAATATTTCTCGGAAAAACATCGTCGAGTACCGGTACAAGCTTGTGTTTGAAGTTCAATGTTCAACAAAGTCTAGACTTCAAACACAAGCTGTACCGGCACTCGACGATGTTTTCCCGAGAAATATTGGCACGGCCGGTATATAAAACATCACCAGTGCTGTCGTCTGCATAGCCATGAATTACTTACAGGTGACAAGTTACAGGTGATTAGCGGGATTAGCCAAGTCGACATTAAAGAATCATCAGAAGAAAGCTAAACATAGAATATTATAATACATACATATATACATCGAAATATAGCATTCCCATTAATTTTTAACACCTTTTATTAATTAGGCCTGTGTGTATATATGTTTAAATGTAATGGAATTATCGTTTGAGTTTTTAAACTCTAATTATAGTTTTCTATTAGCGTTATTGCGATTGTAGTAAGACAATTTTCCTAGCCCCGCAAAGCAATTGTTAACTCTTCGCTCCACAATTCATCTGTGAGTAGTGCATATAAAAATATATATAAATATAAATATACTCACAAAAATATCTTCACGGGATGTACATGCTGCATTATTTTCGTAAAAGTGAACTTTTTGCAAATTATGCTTAATTATCTCATCAGAATTTCTTCTATCTTCGTCAATTGTCACTAACTTTGCTACCAAGCCCTTGTGTTTATTTTTAACTATTAAATTATCCGAATTAATGTTTTCCATTACAACTGGGCTTCCAAAAATAGCATTTTCTAGATATGCACAATAACTATCCTCTACTCCTGCTTGTCCACAATTTTGATGAATAGTGTTATTGTTTAGTTTTATATCAATGGCGGCATTTTTACCATTTTTATTTACATTGCTCCAAGTATTTTTATCATTTCCGTTGTTTTCGAGATAGTTTTGGTACAACTCTTCGTTAGCTCTAAGCTTGTTTTTGCATTTACCAAATTTCCGTAATTTGATATAAATATTAGTTAAATACTGAAATTTGAGAATGTTCGTCATAACCTCTTTTGCGGTAGCCCATCCACTTTTCTTCCGTTTTATGTGTCTCAGACAGGCGTGTTTCGGCGGCGAAGTGCCGCATGAACTGTAACCTATAATTATATAAAAAAGTTGTGTTTAATTAGGATACACCCAGACAAGTACTCTATTGAAATTAAATTGTTTTTTTTAATTTCAATAGCCTCGCAAATCATGCTTGGTAGAAATCGCGGTTATTTGACGAGGCTTTTTGGACTATTATATAATGGTTGGGACGATACTGAATATGTTGACATACGTCAAACTTCCTGGAGCGTCGGTGCTTCTCATCAGCTATACGTACGTGGGTTTTCCACGTAAAAAAGGTAAAATTAAACGCGTTAAAATGGTAAATTTAAATTTGTTCCACGTGTGGAATTCGCGTAAATATAAGAAATCATTATAGAACTTAATTTATGAATTTTTACAGTCTATACAAATGTAAAAATAATGTCAACATTTATTTTATGAAACATATATAAACTAGGACCAATGATATGAATCAAATCACGCAAATAAACATCATACCATAAATTAATGGACGACAGTGAAATTCATCATTATTTGTTAAAAATAAATTAACTTTAATGATGAAAGAATGTAAAGTTTAAAATGTAAAAACGCAATTTTGATTCCAAGACAATTGACCTTTCTTATGGATACGTTATTAAATAGTATGCATATATGGACATAAGATATAAATGCAATTATGAAAAACTTATTTATTCACGTATTTCTGTAACATATTATAAAAAAATGAAGGACTTTCATACAAACTTGCTAGAGCTCTTAGACTTCCTTAATCCGGCCCTGTACAAAATCCTGCCAAATTTCATCTTTATACGTTTTCTATATTTCGTGGCGAGTGAGTGAGTGACCTTTCGCTTTTATATATTATTTAAGATAAAAAAATTGTTTCAATACCGTTTTTGGTGCTGCAAGAACACGGTGTAAGTAGCGGCGAGCGTTCCGCAATGTGATTAGGAGGAGCGCTACGTGAACGGCAGAAATTATTGCTGTTCCACGTCGTGTCGGTGTATGGAATCGAATCTTCTAATGACTCCGCTTCAATCCATTTGGTCGACTCTCGCAGTGAGAAGAACGTCAATGTTACAATCGCCTGAAATCATTACAATATATATTATAGTCAGTTCGGCGAGAGTTGATAAAAAAGGAAAGATTCCTAAACTTTGCCGGTTCTTCGAGCTATGTGGCCATCCAATGGGATGCCACTTCAGTTTTCTCAATCAGTTGGACTATGTTGGTTAGTCTGGTTCTACTGCGGATTTCCTCCTTTCTAAGTCCATAACGCAGAGAAACCTCAAGCATAGCGCTTTCCATAGCCCACTGAGCGACCTTGAGCTTCCTCATTCGAACAGCAGTGAAGGAGCACGTATAGAGTGACGAATTGGTAAGATAAGCAGAATGTCGATGGATGCTTGTGGCTCAGGACCGTGCTTTATAGCATTCCTTGGGAGAGCCCTATGCTCAATAGTGAACTTAGCTGTAATGATGATGATGATGATGATGAATTATTTTGTCGATAGACGGCCGCCGCGTCGTTTCGTCCACCCAGCTTCACGCTTGACAACAGCTGCGAGCCTCCTACCACGAAACTCTTGTGCTTGAGGCGATAAGCGAAGTCCGTCAAATGGGTTTCGATACTTAAACGATAGTCACTCTGTTATTTAAAGATTTTAGGTAGATATAGTTAAATATCTAGAGAAGTTTTATTAGTCTAGACTTTTAAATGTATATGTTTAAAAAGTAACTAACCATCGTAAAGCAAGCAGCAGCGCATAGCGTGGCGCACAGTGGGAAACCGTAGCGCTGTGCGAGTGCACCGCCAAGTGCTGGGCCCAGCACCTCACCTAACGAATAGCAGCATGACCACACGCCAGCTACTGCACTGTATGTAGCCAATGCCTCCGGGCAACCACCTTCGTATCTGCCAAATACAAATCGCGGCACGTAACTCTAGCGCTAAACGAACCATGGAGGGATAACTGCGCATGCCGTATCAGTACGCCAATAGTCGTAGCCGTACACAAATAATAGTAGCCAATCAGGGCGTGCGAACGATATGCACAGCCAATCAGCGTATATATACAATATGGACTAAAGTTGTTCAAAACGACTATAAATTAATAGCACAAAACGCAAAAATCAATGAACGCTCTTTCATACTTTTCAGGCTTACGACTTTCTATAATCCTAAAAATATTTTTAAGGCGTGTACTTTTTGAAACAAAATAAAATTAATCTATATCTATCTATAATAATAAATGAAGTTATTTTAACCTTAATATAAATTATAAATCAATTAAAGATGTATTTAAAAGTTTATTGATTGTATACATGCACACACTTTTGTATCTATATTTTATTTACATTTTAAAAACATTAGTTAGGCTTCTTTTGTAGCAGACAACTGTGTCCTTCGATCACTTATAAATATACGGTATACACTAACTAAATAACATCTAACACTAAATTAGTTCGCGCATATAAATAGCATGCTGCTAGATTAAATTTGCGTCACACGTCTACTCCCAACAGCGCTGCTGCTATAACTAATTGCCGCTTGATATGAATAGCGCCAAAGCGTCATAGCGTCATAGCGCCATTGAGACTACTTACATAGCACGCGCTATGCGTTATGAAGAGATAGCGCGCTATAATATGGCCCTATGCGCTATATTAACCACCATTAATATGGACACCCGCCCCGCGACGCGCTTACTACCCCATGATACCTTATTTTCGGCTTACGCGCAATAACGGTCACCGCTAGACTTTCGTGCCGGTATGTATAACAATTATTATCATTCTGAAGACTCCCGTAAGAAGTTTTCGATATACGCCTGTTTTCAATTGGGAGGAATTAGTGTAATCGCCACTTTTACTTATTGGTTGTTCGTGATACTGGATATATTTGACCTTTGAGACACTTCCTTTTCCTAGCATTTTCTATGGTAGCCGTATACGAAATTTATAAAACCGGATTCGTTTTTTATATACGTATATCTCCACTGCTGGACATCTGGTCTTTCCTATTGTAGCCAGGAACTGCGTATCTAATTGTCAGGATTGTCATGATTGAGGATCATAGAACCAGTTTCTCGCACATTTCACGATACTGGCCGTCACCGATCTGGAGTGCGATTGTATAACTTTGGAGGTAATCGGTGGGATATCAATAACTATTATAAACCGATATATTTGTTAAATAACATCTCAAGGTAGGTAACAAAATATATAAAAAAACATAACGCATTTGCGGAGTAAAATCTATTTTTTTTATATCGGATTTTCGATATATCGATAATTATAAATATATCAATATTGGAGTTTTATATATACGTTTATTTATCGATATATCGAAAGTCCGATATTTCAAAAAATATCAACAGTCCTAGTTTGAACAGATCAGTTGGAATGATCAGTTGAACTGACCGTGTGTGTCGTACATTACGCAATCGCACTATAATTATTATGTATTATAATTGCTTACGACTAGCGTGAACATAAGGTTGTATCATCACATATCGGAAGCCATAAGAATGTTCTGGAATGTCCATTAGCGGCAGCGTATGAATTATCATCAATCCGTTTGGTCCCGTGGGTATCGTACGAAGCGACTACTGAAAAGGTCAGAAAGACCTCATGGCTACCCATGGATGACGGTTTACTTCTTTGTATTATCAAATATAAATGTCCAGACAGGCGACGAGAATCAGCCTGTTAAAAAAGATGAGGATAACAAATAAACTTCATCATCTATAAAGGACTACCAGATAAAAGGCTGCACCACCCAAATTCAACCTACACTAGCACCACTGAAATCATCTATAAGAAACCTTTTATGTCTGAGCAAAATATTGAGGATAAAGACATTTAAAGCACGTCATTTCGCTCTGCTCCATAACCCTGTCAGAAATGAGTAACGCTTGTTCCTAAATACTCACATGGAACTTGTCAAGACTCCTTGGAAAGTAGGTAACAAAGTGAGTGCTACTGATATTCCTAGTATAGAGAGAGCAACCAGGTCCAGCCACAGGTCCCTAAAACATATAATGTGTATATATAATTGATGGTATCTTAACTATAAAATTTGGCTAGTTAGAACATTTGTTGTAATCGTTTAAATTATATATAACAACATACTGAGTTAGACCAGGTATAAATGGGCAAGGACCAAGAAGTAGCAGTCCGACCGTCGAGAGAAATAATCCCCAAACCATCATACACCAGTGGTTATGTACTCTGAAAATTAAACAAATTGATATCATTAAAGAGTTGTAGTTAAGGGCTATGCAACATATTGAATTTTAATGCTACGGCTTTTAGGTTCAAATTTGATTTTGACGTAATCATTTCTTATATTTACGTGAACACTACACATTGAAATAAAACTTTATGCGCGTGACCCGACAGGGTGCTACAAAGTGCTCGAAACGTCTAAAATATAAGATAAGTATATAATTCGTAAAAACCAGTTTTATTTACTTATTTTGACGTTAATTTTACTTCATAAAAATATTTAAGTTAATTGTTTTAGGCGATATTTTTTTAACAATCATCATCATTCCGCTATCCACCGGGAAATATAGGCTTCTCACAAGGACACTTAAGCCAGTCTTCAGCTTTATATTATAAAGGATGTCAAAAAGAAGTGTTTTTCACTTTAAAATTAAAATATTTTTATTTATGAAACGTTTATTTTATAAGCGTTGTAAATAATTATGCTAATGGCGTTAATTCATCATCATCATTACAGCCTTTCACAAATCCACTGCTAAACATAGGCCTCCTCCAAGGATGCCAAAAATAAAGGTCCTGAGCCACCCGCATCCACGACTTCCTGCTTGTCTTATCAGGTCGTCACTTCATCTAGTGGGGGGAAGCCCTACACTTCGGCCCATTTCCACTTCAGCTTACTAATCCGTTGAGATATGGTGTTAATTGGACACCATTTTTTTTTTAAATATTCGTCGGTAAATCAGGCAATTAACTAAAGGCTTACCTGTCAGCAACCCATCCCCATATTGGACTAAAAATTCCATACAGGCTAGAGAACAGTAAAAAGATGAAGCCAATTTGGTTGGTGGATAGACCAAATTGTCGCAAATGAGGTTCCAGCGTTGGATCTAAAAAAGCCCAGGTGTTGGAAACGATTACGATGACAAGGCCCGTGATGATAATCGATGGTATCTTGAATAAACTAAGTACTGATGCGGTTTTCGAGCCGGATACGTATTCTGGAAGTTTAATTTAGAATGCTTAATGGTAAAGTAAAAACAATAATTCTCTGCGTATTTCATATTCTGTACGTACTACTGCTGAAGACAGGCTTCCTATCTTTGTTGGGACGGTTTTAAAAGCAAAAAGAGATTTTTTTATTTTGTATTAAACTTTTTTAATATACCACGTTTTTTAATATTATAGAATTCCTAATTTAGACATCCTAATTTGAGCTATATTCAAAATTTCAAGTTTCCAGCTCATGGAGAAGTTAGTTTATAAAGAAATGCTAAATTCCACCCGGAACGATATACAGGCACTAGTAGTCGGCGGTGGTCGCTTACCATCAGCTGAGCCGCATGCTCGTTTGACCACTCTTCTATAAAAGAAGGCAGACATAAGATTTCTTTCTTGTTAGCCATCCGAAATCCTAATAACACCATTGGTCACACTGTGTATAGGAAAAGGACCCATACAAACCGATATTTAAACGGTGAATCTCACCACCATCCTTCACAGTTAGCTACCGTGGGCAAATCTTTGTTACAGAGAGCACGAGGGATCTGTGACAGCAAACACCTGGCCGCCGAGCTTCAGCACGTCAAGCAAGTTCTGCACGACAACAAGCTTCGGGTCCCGCGCCTACGTCACAGTGAGCGAGTGAAGCCGGCCACAGTCGAGCGTGTGCCTGCTATACTACCATATGTCAGAGGTGTCACAGACAAGATTGGCTATATCTTGAAGCGAGCTTCTATTAGAACATTCTATAAGCCGCCGAAGAAGATTAGTCAGTTCCTACCATCCGTCAAGTGTCATATTCCTCTACAAGATGCAGGAGTGTACAAGCTTGATTGTGAATGTGGTCTCTCTTATATAGGACAAACAAAAAGATCAATTAGGACCCGCGTAAAAGAACATATAGCTGATGTGAAGCATCAACGTTCCGGGAAGTCTGCAGTTTGTGATCATATCCTAGACGGACCCAACCATTACATCAGATTTGATAGACCACAAATCCTCGCGAAAGAACACCGATTCCTACCAAGGATGATACGTGAGGCTATTGAAATTAAAAAACATCCTAATTTCAATAGAGAAGGAGGCTACCACCTGCTTGGGATCCTATAATAGTCAGTTCATTTTGCATAGATCGGACCATAAACAATAATTAAAAAAAACTGAAGGTACTCCGGGTTTAACAATGACATCAGGACGTCAGTCATCTCAGTCCCCCGTGACCATGGGTGCTGGAAAGCGCCCGAAACGTCGGGAATTAAAAATAAAAGTAAATAAAAAGTAAAAATAAACGCGATAAAATCCGTAAAAGTAGTTTTAATCAGAAGGCAGACAGACAAACAAAAAAGTGACTTAATAAAAACGTGGTAACGTGGTAAAAAAAAGTCAGCTACGATACTCCAATAGACGGATTTTACGTCTCCTCGAAATATTTTCAATTCGAGGAGACTTTCCTCAGACATGCAATTTTCCTCAAGATATTTTCCTTTTTTTGTATAGAATAGGTAAGGTTGAAAAACGAGCACACAGCCAACCTGATGGTAAGTGAATGCTGTGGCCCATAGACACTTACATTTTTATCTTCAAGTAGAAATCAAAATTGCGTTGCGTTGCCATCCCTGAGGAGTAAGATGGAATGCTTCGTTTCTATTAAAAAGGGTCTCCGGTTCCCTACACTCACCATACGAAACACAACAGCATTATGCTGCTATTTTAGGCTGGTATTCTGTGAGAGCGTGGTCCTTCCCCGGTCGAGCCGATCCATTCGTGCTACAGCCATAACATAGCATGTTGATGTATCTTTGCTCCATCTAATTTTACGGATTTTACCATTTGACTTGACTTATCAAACGATAAGGCTTTCAATAAAATTATCTGCATTATCATATTTTTGCCTATTTACACCTTCATGCCGTGTTCCAGTTTGAAGGGAACGACAACCAGTACCGACTGTGAAGAATTTTATGTTAGTCCCCACCAACAAACCTGTGGCCTCCTGTGCCTAAAATTTGTTGTAGGTTATCATAGGCTATATTAGCCATTTTCCACCTGGTGGAATGTTAGTTTTTGTTGTAATTTGCAGTAAAATATATATTATCTGTAATTGATAATAAGTGTGACGATATTTAACTGCCCTTTTAAACATATTGAAAGATTTGCCTAAACTCACTACGTTGGGCAAATCGGAAATTGGTGAGCGATGTATCGATACCGATATGGGTTTGGTAATGTTGCCTATCACAAGACAATCAAATTGGGGTTTTGCGTTATTAAACAAATATAAAAAAATATTTAGAAGACATGTGAAGTTCACCAACACGCATTGGGGTAGCGCGGCGGACACTTCCTTGCCCTAAAAACCCTCTCAGAAATGAGTGGAGGCCTGTGCCCAGCTGTGGGACGTATATAGGCCGTAACTTTTGTAATAGTGGAGACGAACTGTCCACTATTAACAGACTCCGAGTGGTTTTCTTTAAGGTGGAGAAATGAAACTACTGTTTATGTTTATGAATGTACTGTCGAATGGGATTCGGAATGGAATATCTTTTGCATCAACCTTGCCTATATTTATATGGCTGGCTCACTATTGATTTGCCAATGGTAACAATTAATATTTTGCCTAGCCAATTATATTGCTTATTTTATGACCAATGAAAACTATTTAAAATATACAATTATCTACGTTTCGTTTCCCGGCGTGAGACTTGTTTGTTGTTCACGAAGCTACGTCGCTGGACCGGGCTATATAAGACATGCAGATCGGTGCGCACGCGTAGTCGGCGGGCGGCGGCGGTGTGGAATACAGCTCCGGAACAGCAAGAGGAAACGAACTGCGGCGTTGAAGAAACGGCTCACCATTGGTCGACGGATACGTGACGATAGCGGCGTGTGAAGTCGGTGTGGCGCTGAATGATATTTGCGGCTGCTTCTTGTTTCTTTATAAGAACGTCAAATTATCTATATACAGTCCGCAGTATCTCAGTAGCCAAGAATAATTAAGAAATAAAATGTTTTTTTTTTTTATTTATTCTCGCCTTCCGCGTTATGGTAGCAGCGGAGTATATCTTATTTATTCCCGTTTAGATTTGATTAATCTGGCTGCTACATCACTCTCCCCCCCAGCGAAAGCGTACCGGAGGCTTGACGACTCGCCCGTATTTCGTAGTTTTTAAAATAGGTTTCAACTGGGTTGATGTAGATGATGAAGTCTCAAGCTTCCTCGCTGGTGGTTTTGATGATGATGATGAATCCTCTGCAGTATCCTCGTTAATAATATAGGCAGGCTTTAGTCGGTCGATCGATATAATCGTAGATTTCCTTCCGGGTATTTGTAGTTTAAAAGTCTTGCTATTTCTCTCTAATACTTTATACGGTCCATCGTAGGTAGGTTGAAATTGTTTTTTCATTGCGTCGTTTCTTACAAAAACTTGTTTGCATGTTTTCAAATCTTGGTGAATGAATACTGATTTATTATTTCTGTGTGATTGCATTTCGGTGCATTTCAACGATAAGGCTTTGTTAATTGATTCTCGAAGTTTAGTTACGAAATCGTAATCCATTTCTTGTTTGTTTGACGCTGCTGAACTGAAGAAGTCACACGGCAGCCTTATGCTGCAGCCGTAGGTTAGCTGAGCGGCGCTAAGACTAGTGTCTGCACGCGGTGTTGCTCGTAGTCCGAGTAGCACTGTAGGTAGCTCATCAATCCACTTTGTATGTTGAGATAAACGAGTTTTGAGTGCAGTCTTTAATGTACGATGCCATCGTTCGATTATTCCGTTTGACTGAGGATGGTATGCTGTTGTACGCGTCTTCTGTATTCCCATAGTTTGAAGAAGTTTGAGGAATAGGTTGCTTTCGAAATTCCTTCCTTGATCCGTTGTGATGGTTTTAGGTGATCCGAAACGAGTAATCCAATTTTCATAAATTATCTTCGCGACGGATTCGGCTGAAGTATCATCGGTAGGTATTGCTTCTGGCCATCTTGTTGTTCTGTCGATCATTGTTACGAGATAACGATGTCCTTGCGGTGAAGTAGGTAATGGTCCAACGATGTCAACGTGCAAGTGTTCGAATCTCTCCGTGGGTGGAAATGTAGCTAGACTACTTGATGTATGCCTTTGTACTTTGCTTTTTTGGCATTGAATGCATTGCTTCGCCCAGTTGCCAACATCCGCTTGCATTGCAGGCCAAAAGAATTTTTCAGTGATGAGTTTTCTTGTTGTTCTAACACCTGGATGACTAATGTTGTGCAGTGTATTGAAGACTTCGCGACGACATTCTTCTGGTATGTATGGTCGCATGGTTGTCGTTGAGGCTTCACAGTATATTGGTAGATGCGTCATTGGCATTGTAACTTGCTTGATGGACAAGTTACCTTGCTTCGATAGATGTTTTATGTTGTCAATATCTCTGTCTTGTGCTGCGGCGATCTTATGATAGTCGATTGATGTAGGGCACGTTACACTGTCGATTGGTACGCGACTGAGTGCGTCGGCAACTATGTTGTCCTTTCCACTGATGTGACGTATGTCGGTCGTGAATTCACTTATGAAAATAAGTTGTCTTGCTCTTCGTGGTGTTTCCGATAGTGATGGTTTCTTTGGAAGTACATATGTTAATGGCTTGTGGTCGGTAAAAACGATCAGGTTTCGACCCTCGAACGTTTTTCTGAAGTGCTTGATAGCCATGTAAATAGCGAGTAGCTCTCGGTCGAATGTACTGTAGTTACGTTGAGTATCGGAGAACTTCTTCGAAAAATATCCAAGTGGTTGCCATTTCCCATTGCTGTATTGTTGGAGAACTGCTCCTGCTGAGAGATCGGATGCGTCGCTGAAGATAGCAAGGGTTGCTTCGTGTGATGGGTGAGCGAGTAAAGCTGCATTTTGGATCGCAATTTTACAAGCTTCAAATGCCTTCGTGGCTTCATCGTTCCATTCGATTGACGTTTTATCTTTTTTCTTCGTGTTGTGAAGGTAGGCGTGAAGTGGTGCTTGGATTTCAGCGGCTTTAGGTATGTGTTCTCTGTAAAAATTTATCATCCCAAGAAAACGCCTTAGCTCTTCGATAGTTTTAGGTTTTGCATAATCGATGATTGCTCTGACTTTTTCGGCAGGCGGTTTTATTCCTTCCTTGCTGACGGTGAAACCAAGAAATTGAACTTCTTGCTGTCCAAATATGCATTTCGAAGGGTTGATTGTGATTCCGTTGTCTTCTAATCGCTGTAGCACGGTGCGTAGATGGGTTTCGTGCGTTTCTTTATCAGGGCTTGCAACAAGGAGATCATCAATAAATGCGAAAACGAAATCCAGTCCATGAAGTACTTCGTGTATGAATCTTTGGAAAGTTTGACCTCCGTTCTTTAATCCTGGGATCATTCTTGGGAATTCGAATAATCCCATTGGGGTAATTATTGCTGTCTTCTCTATGTCTTCATCGCGGACTCTTATTTGTTGGTAAGCTCGGTTGAGATCGATGGTGGAGAATATAGTCTTGTCTGATAGTTGATGCGTGAAATCCCTGACTCGCGGTATTGGGTAGCGGTCAGGAGTGGTAATAGAATTCAGTCTTCTGTAATCTCCACAAACTCGTAATTCTCCGTTCTTCTTCGGTACAATGTGAAGTGGTGATGACCAAGGGCTTTTGCTTGGACGGCATATTCCTTGCTCAATCATGTTTTCGAATTCCTTTCGAACTTGCTCGTATAGGTGTGGTGCGATTGGACGTGCACGACAATGAAGTGGTGGTCCATTGGTGTCGATGAAATGCTCAACGTCGTTCTTCGGTGTTAATTTCATTGAAGTTATTCTTGTGATACCAGGGTATTCTTCGAGGATCTTGTGATACGGTTGTTGCACATCTATGCTTCTTATTGTGGGCAGATTGGTTACTTGTACAAAAGACTGAGATCCAAGATTGGTTTTCCCGTCGATGATTCTTCTATTTTTGATGTCGACGACCAACTGGTGATGTTGAAGAAAATCAGCACCGATGATTGGTTTGCTGACTTTAGCGACGATAAATCTCCATTTGAATGGTCGGCGTAGATTAAAATCAAGTTCCATTGTTTTTTCTCCATATGTAGGAATAACCGTATTGTTTGCTGCATAGAGTTGAAAATCTAGTGGCTTCAACTTCTGTCCTTGCTTCGGCGGTAACACTGAGATATTTGCTCCGGTGTCGATAAGGAAAGTAAGCTTGCTTTTTTTATCGGTGACGAAAAGACGGTAGGACTTTGCTGTTACGCTGGATCCCGTCGCATCGAGCGTACTAGTTAGTTTTCCGTGTTCGTATTTTCATTTTTGAATGTACACGGTGCTGTGCATTTTCTTGCCTCGACCCCGAAACGTCGATGATAGTAGCAGTAAGGGGATCTTGATGTTGAGCTTATTCGACTTCTACTTGCAGAGCGGTTGCGACGAAAAGGTGATCTTCGGTGTTGCTGATTGCGCTGGTTGTACTGTTGCTGGTAAAAGGTATGATGCTGGGAAGCTTTGAGCGCGGCGACTTCGAATGATAGCTTCCGAATTTCTTCGAGAAGAAACTGGGTATCATTGACCTTTGTTGAAGTGCCTTCGATGATCGATATGTGTGAGCTACTGCTGTTTTCGATCATCTTGTCCGCCAGGAGTGCCAGTTCGTCGAGCTTCGTCTGCGTGCTGAATGTTTCGCTGACTGCTATTACCGATCGAATATGTGGTGGTAGGTGGTTTACCCACATTAGCCGTAGTGTTGAATCCGGAACTTTATCTCGCGCCAAAGTACGCATTTTGCGTAGGAGTTGTGTGGGTTTCTGGTCTCCAAGTTCTATTTCTGATAGAAGTTTTTGTAGCTGTCGACTGTCGGATTCTTCGTATGCGGAGATCAGACGATCCTTCAGTGAATTATACTGGTCGACTGCTGGTGGGTTGTACAACAGGTCCGCAATTTGTTCGATGTCTTGTTTCTCAAGTTGGGCTATCACCATCTGTGCTAATTGCGCTTGGCTCTTCTTTAAACCATTCGTTGCGGCTTCAAAACTGACGAACCAAAGTCGTGGTTTGTCTCTCCAAAACGGTGGTATTCTTAACGATAGAGATATACCGGCGATTTCTGGTTCCTTTACCGGGTTTGATGTATATGTGTTTGCCTCCTGCTCCATAATGACGGCTTGATTACACTGATTTTATATAAACTGAAGTCTTCCTTCTCGGTGTTCTTACAATAGTAGTGGTACGTCGCAGGGTGTTCCTTCTTGGTGTTCGTACCGGATCTTCCCCCCTCGGTGTTCGTACGGGGTCACCACTGTAATAGTGGAGACGAACTGTCCACTATTAACAGACTCCGAGTGGTTTTCTTTAAGGTGGAGAAATGAAACTACTGTTTATGTTTATGAATGTACTGTCGAATGGGATTCGGAATGGAATATCTTTTGCATCAACCTTGCCTATATTTATATGGCTGGCTCACTATTGATTTGCCAATGGTAACAATTAATATTTTGCCTAGCCAATTATATTGCTTATTTTATGACCAATGAAAACTATTTAAAATATACAATTATCTACGTTTCGTTTCCCGGCGTGAGACTTGTTTGTTGTTCACGAAGCTACGTCGCTGGACCGGGCTATATAAGACATGCAGATCGGTGCGCACGCGTAGTCGGCGGGCGGCGGCGGTGTGGAATACAGCTCCGGAACAGCAAGAGGAAACGAACTGCGGCGTTGAAGAAACGGCTCACCATTGGTCGACGGATACGTGACGATAGCGGCGTGTGAAGTCGGTGTGGCGCTGAATGATATTTGCGGCTGCTTCTTGTTTCTTTATAAGAACGTCAAATTATCTATATACAGTCCGCAGTATCTCAGTAGCCAAGAATAATTAGGAAATAAAATGTTTTTTTTATTTATTCTCGCCTTCCGCGTTATGGTAGCAGCGGAGTATATCTTATTTATTCCCGTTTAGGTTTGATTAATCTGGCTGCTACACTTTAAACAAATATCCCGTCAGCAGCCGATCATTAGCAGGTTACACTGTGTACAAGCGAGTTTGGCAATTATAGAAAAGTTGGCTCGACCTGGGCAGGACCACGCTCACAAAAAATACCAGGGTACAATAACAGTTTATTACTGCTGTGTTTCGTATTGTGAGTGTAGAGAAACGGAGACCCATATAACTGGAAACGAGGCATTCCATCTTAGTCCTTAAAGATGATAACGCGTCTGCATTTTGATTCTTTATAGAGGATAAATATAAATGTCAATGGGGCCACAGCATCCGCTTACCATCACGTCACGGTCGACTGCGTGCGCGTTTTTTACCCTTATTCTATAAAAAAAGAGATAGAATCCCTTGCACCTGTCTTACTTCTTATATTACAGTTAATTAATTTTGTATAACAAACGTCTGTTAAGTTAGATCGAGATAGAGGTATCTTTGAGAGTATATGATACCACAATGTAATGCAATATTGCATATCGATATACGATACACCTATTTCAACAGTAATCAACCACATTCGCCAAGCCATAAGAATATAATCATGTTTAATAAATCTACGATTATTTTCATTTTATAATCTATTGCGATGCATTTTTGAGTGTTAAATTTAAGAAAAAAAAAAAATATATATATATATAAAATTATACAAATTCATTTCATCTATTCACATATATTATTAAAAAAGTATACAACCCACAAAAAATGCTTTTAACCCTTTCGCTATCCCGCGTAATACATATAGTGCATTGTTATTGTTTTACTATTGTGTTTGAAAATCGGACAGCGAAAGTGTTAAGAATTAAGATACGCGTAGGTATGGTATTTGAAAGTTTGGAGTTGTCTTAGTAATTGGTTTGGTTAATTTTTTTTATTGACTGATATTATTCAGTGTTATTCTACAAATGTATAGACATTTCGGTTTATTTTTGCACATAGCTAATTTTGGATTCTATTGTGGATTGGATCCTTTTTACGTATTTCAACGTGGTAATAACCATTGGAGGCCATTGATTTATTTGTATAACTCAATATTGGAGGCGAAAACACTACGTGGTAGAGCCATACTACAGCTATGTCATGGTTGAAGCACGAACGGGTAGGCTCGAGCGGGGAAGGACTACACTCTCACAGAATACCAACGTAAAATAGCATCTCTATGCTGCTATGTTTCGTATGGTGAGTGTAAAGAAAAGTAGACCCTTTTACTGAATACGAGGCATTTCATCTTGGTCCTCAGAGGTTACAAAGCATCCACATTTTGATTTTTATTGGCCTCTATATCAACTTAATATCAGGTGGACTGTGTGCTCGTGTGTCACCCTTATTCTATAAAAAAACGACGGGTTGCACTCCAGGAGTGCCGGCAGAAGTAAAAACTTGAATATTAACGTTGTGCATTTTTGATATTTTGGAATGGTTAGGGAATAATTTTGCACGAATTGCTTTAATTATTTATCAGTATAAAAGTACTATCATTTATGTGGTAGAATACAATATTTATTTATTGCGCTATCATACACAAACATGACAATTTATATTACATTAAAAAGTTTATCTTCTCCTACGCCGCGCCGGTTGTCTACTCTACATCCGTCTTACGAATTTTTGATCAGGACACGTGTCCTGACGCGAGTTTAACATTTTTTTACCCATTACAAAAATGTGTACAACGCCGCTAAAAAAGTTTTCGTCTTACGAATTTTCGATCAGGTCACGTGTCCTGACGCGAGTTTAACATTTTTTACCCATTACAAAAAAGTTTTCACTTCAAAAAACTATACTACACACATACAAATACGGAAAACAAAGTTAAAGTTTACAATGTCTCGAGGTTATGATGTCCAATCCGATTAAGCGTGGTTTTATTGTAAATCTTTCATATTATTAGCGAAGCCCATCTTCAGCGGTGGACTTATGGCTGGTTGATCATAAAGATTTGAAGAATAATAATTATTTAAACATAACTAGACCGTATATGAATATAAATATATAGTAGTCAGATACAATGATATATCGCCTTACCTTCACAATCTGATAGCAGGATATAGTTGATCGGTACAGACAACACCATAACTAAGCCGAGACTATAAAATGGTAAACCAAATCCCCCCGATCTACCTGAAACACGTATAACATTTTAATACTATTTTTAGCGAATTAAAAATGTGTCAAAAAAGGCACGTATGGCAATTCACAATGCTGTGTTGGTCCCTACTTTAACGTACGGTAGTGAAAGTTGGGTGTGGCAGAAGAAGCACGAGAGTAGAATCAACGCAGTAGAAATTAAATCAGCCTTAACATACTCCTACGGTCGTTAAGGAGTATGTTAGGGCTGAATCTGAATGACAGGGTAAGAAATTGTGTAATAAGAGAAGAGTGTGGTTTGCAAGATGATGTTGTGACTAGGATTAAGAAAGGAATGCTTCGGTGGTTTGGTCATGTGGAAAGAATGAATGAGGAAAGAGTGACAATGAAAATTTATGTTGCAGAAGTGAATGTCAGAATCGGAAAGGGACGTCCTAGGCGAAAATTTATCGACCAAATTGGCGATTTATTGAAAACGGGCCAAATTAGGAGTACCCTTAACCGACTAGCACGTATGCGTCGGTGTATGGATGTGAAGGAGGCGAGAGAGATGTGTGAGGATCGTGCCAAATGGAAGTCTGTAGTCTCTGCCTACCCCTCTGGGTGACAGGCGTGAGTGTTTATGTTATGTAAAAAAGGGGAAGGTTTTCAATTCGACTGCACTATGTTCTTTTTTTTTGTATATATTCTATGCAATATATTCATCAATGGTAAACTGCTTTGAAACAATTTATTATTATTATATTATACTTCAATTGTGGTCCCACTTAACTTTGGAGAAAAATCGATCGAAACGGATCCGTTCTCTTTTAGTGTTCACTCAAACGTATTTTCATCATCATTACAGTCAAAATCCATTGCAAAACATAGGTTTCTCCCATACATTGCATAGAAGGATATTTGTCATATCTGCAACTCTTGGCAGGCGAGTTGGCAGCTGAAGTTTTTTTTTTGAATTTCCAGATGTTATTAGGTAGAACGCTGCTACTCATTTAGTTTGTGTTCTGACACCCCCGTGACCTATTACGAGCTAGTGGATATTCTTATACCGCTACTACACGGTTTAACTTATTTTATTTACTTATTTTACTTAAAGTTACAACCTATATATGTCCCACTGCTGGGCACAGGCCACCCCTCATTTCTGAAAGGGTTCTGGTAGGGCAAGGAAGTGTCCGCCGCGCTGCCCCAATGCGTGTTGGTGAACTTCACATGTCTTCGAAATATTTTTTTTCTTATTTCTCAGAAATGCAGGTTACCTCGCGATGTTTTCCTTCACAGGCGAGCACATGGTAAATCAGCACTTAATAGACAATTTCATTGGTGCCGGCGGGGATCGAACCCGGGTTACTCGCGTTCTGTTACGTTTACAGCGAGCGTTAAACTATAACATGACTGAATTGAAACAATCTCTGTAAAATTTTTCATAAACTTTGTCTATTAAATATCATCTTCCTTATCAGTTCAGCCCATAAGTTTACTTTGTGTTTTCCAAAAGATCGGCACAAAGCACGGTCTTGAACCAACTTCATTGACTCCCCCTACATCAAATCATTCGTCATCATCTAGTAATATCTAGTAGTACTTGGCGTCTCCGACGATTTTAGACGATGGTCGTCGCTTTCGCCATTTTGTTTATTGAAGAAGCTCCTTAGCTGAAGTAAACATGGGGTTGGAAATCGTTGTATTCGTTAAAAACATTTTTAACGTCTTGATCACAGTCAAAATTATAACATGCCGAAAAAATACGGAAATTATTCGAAGCAATGTCGATGCTCCTGTTATTTTAAGGCAGTGTGTGGGTACGCCTTATTGTGCAGAGTAGTCTCGGTTATTTGATAGCAAGCTATGTATCATCATTTGCAATTTTTCACAGTAACTCTGTTGTAATTATTGTGAGTATAACTATTGCGGTAAAAGTTTTCGACTATCATACAGAATCCACTTGTTATCACATGTTATAATTCGATTCAGAATCCCTCAATTGTGTTTCAATTCACATGGTAACTTCAGAAATTTTTATGTATTTCTTTCATGGAGGTTAAAGAACAGGAGTACGGTCTCTACGTACTAAAGCATAGCCCGCCTGTCCTTGAAAATTGTAGAATTTATAGCGGCGCTGACGTCGGTGAGTAGTGACTGCGAAGATAGCTGTTTATGAGTACAAGTAGATGAAGTTAGTTGAATAATGTACAACTTTTCTTCGCGGCATTGGTGAGAAAATTTTCATGCTCCGTAATTTTGTAATTTTTTGACAAAAAGAAACATTAAAAATGGAGAAATATTTTATTGTGAGTGGATGTGCAAGTGGTTCAGCATCTGATCGGCAAAATAGACTGAAAATGACTTTTATTGAGCGAACTTAGAGAATGCAGCGCGTCACTTATGGTGTCCATATTTCTGAGACACTATTTTCTACGGCGATCGTTCTCCTGTTCTCTAACCTCCATGGTTTCTTTATTCACTATTATTGCATAATCAGCAATTAAAATTGAAATTTAAGATTTCATTGGTGCCAGCGGGGATCAAATGCGGGTTGCTTGCGTACTATGAATATTACGGCATTAATTTACGACGTTTAAGATAAACAAAGTGATGAAACCTACAAGTCTAAGGAATAAAATATTTGGAACATATATGAGGTCCGTCATACTAACGCTTTGGAACAGCAGTTACCGTTACCGTTACAGCCTATTAAAGTCCACCTTTGTACATAGGCCTAGGGCCCGGTTTACCTACATTTTGGAAAGTGACAAGTGCGAGTGGCAAGTGGCACTTATCACTGGTCACTGCCTGTTCACACGCACTAAGCATTTGTCATTTGTCAGTTGCACTTGCCACGCGCACTTGTCACTTCTCAAAATGTAAACCTTAGGGCCTTACCCATTACCAGCCATAGATTGTAGATTGGCAAGCGGGTTGGTACAAAGATTTAACCCCCCCCTAAACCCGATATATAGTATCATATTCTACACTCCACTAACAGAACGAACTAATTGCTTATAGAGTAACCTACATAGAAATGAGGTGAGGACTATGGTCAATAGTAGGACGTATGTAAGCTTTAACCTTAGATTGTTTTAAAGTTCATATTAAATAATTATTTCATACCGAATACAGCAGTCCGCCAATGGCTGGCCCCACGGACATTCCAAGGCCGACAAAAGTCTCGAGTATGCCAAGAACAGTGCCAATTGTGTCGGGAAACGCGTTCACCACAAAAACGTAGCTGGCGGTCGAATAGGCACTTGCACCGAGTGCCTCCATTCCCCGTACCAAGAAGCACATAATTGTGAAAATTAAACTATCTTCTATCATCACTAGTGTTCTGTAAAAGAAGAAAATTGTTAATGTAGATTAGCATAATATTATTCTACGATTTTTAAAATAAAAAGCAAAGAAAAAATAAATAAACAACAAATACTTCATTTACAATTTGATAGAGGTGAAAGAGCTTTTTCTTTGTGTTTTCGTCAAAGGTTAATATTGGTAATGACTTTTTTCTACCATTACATTTTGTGTTTTGAGCGGCGTATAAATGAATTTAGTGCCTAGTAAAATCATACGATATTTTTTGACAATTACATACCTATAGTATATGGTGTATGGTGGTGGTGGTGGTGATGATGATGAGTATAACAACGACGATGAGAACAATGTTTTACTGATTTATATCAAGAATAAGCTGAGTTCGCATAAACTAGAGGCACCTTATTAATATCGTCTGCACTCTGCGTAGTAAACAACTATTAACATTGTTTAGGAACTGTCACAATCACAATGAACATAATCAGCTAGAAAAAGATAATTATCATCATGACACAGACATTTGATTAGAATCTTAGGAATCGGAAGAGTGAAGAGTTTTCGTGGTAGAACCACGAGACAGCATATTATGATTGCAGCACGATCGGGTCAGCCCGACCGGAGAAGGATCACGATCGCACAGACCAGCGTGAAATATCAGCACGATTCTGTGTTTCGTATGGCGAGTTAATTGCAGTGGAGTGCATCTTTTTTACTGCTCAGTAGGTATATTATATATTCAAAAAACTCTTTTCATTCTTTGTATTATCAGCATTTACACCTTCGCGACAACACACCTACATTTTGATTCCTAATTGAGTAACATACATATACAATATGTACTTACATAATGTACTTATGTTCTTATGTTCATAAAAAATAGAATACCAAGGTCAGGATGAACGTAGGTTAGTAGGATTATATAAAAGGCGCCGTCTAGGTGTCATAAGTTCTTGAAAGGGAAGTGAATGGCATGTATGATGTGTCGTAACGTAATCTACTTATGTTGCAGGGTAAGATTGAATTACAGCGTACATAACTCTAGTTAATAGTTACCTACCTGCCGTTGTAAAATTTGTCGGTGATAGATAGTAAAGGTCTAGAATTATAGAATAAACAAATTAGCGTAGCTTCGTAGCTACTTGAATCAATTGTGATTTATAAAACAAATTAATAAGTTTTTACCTTATTTTTTCCTTTATAATAAGTTAATAAATATTTTAAATAGTCATAAAATATTAATGTGATGAGTTCATAAAAATGGGAAGCAAAATCAGTAAAAGACGCAAAGTCTTTAGAGACTTGATTAATAAATCATACACCGTTTTAGGACAATAATTGTGCGTATTGGCCACAATTCTATAATGGTATAATTGTCGCCAGTACGCACAATTGCCATTAATAACGTTTTTCGCTCAAACCTCCCGACGTTTCAAAGGAATCGACACAAATATCAACATCGGTTGAAGAACGCTTTGTTTTTCTGTTATTTCCGAAGCTTCGAATTTTATTTGAAGCCATTCAAAAGTACCTATTGTTGAAAATTAGGGAGTTTTTGGAGACTATGTTAAACGGTTTAAAATTACTGGAACAGTTTAGTGACTTGCTTCCTTGGGTTTATAGTCTTAATAATGCGATGTACAACTTACCCAAATAAAACATTACAGGCTCCGGCGACAAACATACCCGCGATGAACATAAATTTTGCACCCATTGCCGGTAACTGAAAAAAAATTATTTGTTGGCTTTAACTGGCAATAAAACATCTGATATTGCGTGTTCATAAAAAATATTGCAGAATAAAAAAAGGCAATTACCTAAAGGTATAAGCGTTTAATAGCAGCTCTTACTTCTTTATTAAAGGATTTTTTTTTACTTTATTACATATTATTTAAAGAGTGCAATGAGCAAGCATCATCTACTGACTACATTTTCCGACCTTTTTATGAAAAATAAAATAATTTTATAATAATACTAGCTGTTCCCCGCGATTTCATCCGTCTGGAATCGATTAAGCCAATCATGGGTTTTCAGTTTTTTTTGCGCGGTCAAAATCGGTCTAGCTCTAGCTATTTCGGATATTAATTGGAACAAACAGACAAACAGCCGGACAGACAAAATTTTTTAAATCTGTTTTTTTTTCTTTGTTATAAGTACCATATATAATTACTTTCATATGCATTTCGTAGCTCGAAGAACCGATAACCGATGGGGAAGAAAGTTTCTCGAGTGGCAGCCTTGTACCGGTAGGCGTAGTGTAGGGCGACCCCCACTAGATGGAGTGACGACCTGGTAAGACATGCAGGAAGTCGATGGATGCAGGTGGCTCAGGACCGTGCTTTGTGGCATTACTTGGGGGAGGCCTATGTTTAGCAGTGGATTTGTGAAGGGCTGTAATGATGATGATGATGCATTTAGTAAAAAGCTGTTATTTTGGCATTACAAAGAGACACTTCAATTTTATTTATTTGTAAGTATAGGATTTATCAACGTAAATCGAACTAGCAAGACTTCAATAATACAGATATCATTTAAATATATTGCAATGACACAAAGCACCGAGCTAAATATAAAGGAACAATACCAACAGCACTAAATATGATATTATTTTCGGAATATTCCGCCGCAATGTCAATGGGCAGATAGATTGGTCTAGATACACTTTCACCCTTTGTATTGTATATGAAGTGACTCACTCCAATAAAACAAATACAAAACTACTGTCCGTTACTGGACGAGGGGACTCTCATTGTGGGGAAAGATTTATCTGAATCTGCACTGCGAAGGCAGATTAGTGATAACATTACTAAATATCTTATACCTTTACATCTAGTACAATATATGATAGTATATTGCCATGTATCGTGCGGTCTTTCCGGCTTTTTTATTGCCGTCTTTTACGACTCTTTTTACAGTTTTAAGAAACATATTTATACAAACTTTTTTCTAAAGCGTAGGTACTAACACCGTAAATGACAAAACATGCCAACTTTGTTTCAAGGTAATATCAGAGGAATTCCGTGGTCATTTATTGTTAAGTGTGAAAGTTTGTTATCAAATGTGAAAGGTATTATCAGAGGAATTACGTACTGTTGTTTTTGTTAAGTTTATCAAATATGTAAAAAGTTCAATGACAATAGCTAAACGAGATTCAAGTGTTGACATTACAAAAGCTTAGCGAAAGCATTTTAACATAAAACTGCAATTTTATAAGAAAACATTTATTTACCACTATGGATTCTTTTTATCCGAAATAAATGAATTATTATTATATTTATATTAAAAGCTTTGTGATAACCAGACATATAACATTGTTAAGTACTTTAGTGTTTTGTCAAAGTTACATAATAATAAGGAAGCATAGTTATTTAAATCATTATTTGGAGATCACTAGAACTAATTTACCGTTACCCGTTACAACCTATTAAATAAAGTCCACTGCTGAAGATAGGCCTCCCCCTTATATTTCCTCATAGGGGGGGGGGGGGTAATTGCCATAGTTACCACAGTTGTTTTTTTAATTTTAATCGTTATTAGGGAGACGCTGCTACCCATCTCCTGTATTGTTTCCCCCTGTCGCCTGTCGTCTGTTTGCTGAAACCCACGGGATGATATGGGGTAGGTAGTAGATATTCTTACACTGCCACTACTCTCTACCTTATTTAGCCAAAAACAACCTGCCAGGCCTACTTTTAGCCATGAATCAACCAAATTCACTTATTTAGATAACATAAATAAATTAAAATTGATTGTCCTGTTATCGGATCATTAGTCAATTTCATATTAAGTGCGATATATATAACTGTCTAATGCTTTTCAAACATTTACAAACCACGTACTATAATTGGACTTCTATAAAAGGATGAGGGGATTGCGGTGCTCGTATAGGCTAATGTTTCTATTCGTTACAGAATGCAGAAAATGGCTTCCTCGCGGAGAATCTAAAGACGATTGTCGTGTGGATTATTTAAAGATTATCCTTTAAATAATTTTACTATTTGGTTACCATTTTGGTTTATATTAATACGATATTTTATTATTTAATTAATATTAATGACATAAAGTTCTCCAGGATGATTATAGTCACAGCAACAATATTTAGATATTATCGCGACTTCACCGAACCAACTTAATCTCGGGAACATACCCTTAAAGCATTTTTTTAATATTTTGTTTTGGGCTCTGATTGTGAATCGAACCTATGATTCGCGACCATATATCTTGGCAGTCAATATTAATATAGAGAACATACAAAAATGTCTATGCTTATTTTTGGTAACTCATAATTTAATACGGGTTTACATCAGGGATTCCCAAAGCGGTCGATATCGGTTCCCCAGAGGTCGACATAAACGAAAACTGATGATTTGTAACTGTTATTTACTTAATTTTATGATATTTACTTAATTTTATGTTTATATATTTTATAAAATTTTGATAAAAATTGATGTCAAGTTAACTCACTTAACCAACCGCATAGTTTTTAAATTAGTACGTATTTTGTATCAATTGGTAAAAAACTAGAGACAGGATTTTTAAAATAACTGATACCTCAGACCCCTATAGGGTCTGAGGTATCAGTTCATTTTGGAAAAGGGGTCTCTTGCTCAAAATAGTTTGGGAATCCCTAATTTACATAATGCATGCATAAATAAAACGTACTTACGAATTTCCCAAACAGTGGGGAGGTTAGGAACATCACAACAGCGTAGAAACTGAACACCATTCCACACATGGTATCGGACAGTCCCTTTTCGTTAGCTTCTCTCGGGAAGAAAGGTGCCATGATGCTCATGGAGCAGAAGCTCATGAAGTCAACGAGCGCTAGTGATGCGAGTGTCAGCCGCTGATGACGGGACAAATGTCGAACCGCGCCAGGTCGAGGTCTCGTTTGTGTTCTTACTAATCTGTGTAAATATGTGTTTTTAAATTTTGATTACTATTTGAGTAAGTAAAAGTTAAAAGTAAAGTTACAGTCTATATACGTCCCACTGCTGGGCACAGGCCTCCTCTCATTTCTGAGAGGGTTTTAGGGCAAGGAATAGTCCGCCGCGCTGCCTAAATGCGTGTTGGCGGACTTCACATGTCTTCGAAAAATTTTTTCTTATCTCAACATGCAGGTTTCCTCACGATGTTTCCCTTCACCGACGAGCACGTGGTAAATCAGCATTAAAAATAACAATTGCCGGCGGGGTCGAACTCGGTTTGCTCGCCTATTGTGAAATTTACAGCGAGCGCTAACCATCTGAGCTACCACGGCTCATTTGAGTAAATGTCGCCATATTTTTTTTAGTTAGAGCTACAGTGTTTGCTATCCATCAGATGTTACGCGGCCAGTGCAGCCCAGAATAGCCACAGTGAACTCAAGCTATGAGATCGGCACCCGAAGGTGCCTTTTACGATTTGCATGAGGCAAAATAGGGCGATGAATTCTTTTACGACGTCATTAGACGGCAAAATAATGAGGTCACTTTATATAACACACCAAATGACTATTTCTTTAATGCGAGTATGTAATAGTCCAATTTAGGATACACAAAAAATTTTCAAAAACCGATTGTAAAAACAATGATATAATATTAGAACGTACTATGAAACATTTTAAATCGAATCTTATCACAAATTTGTTCTCATGAAAAGGCTCTTGTCACAAGTTGTACGAGTAAGTATATTCAACATATAAAAGTAAAAAAAAATATATATGTAAAATTAACCGAAATAGAAATAATATTTTATATAATTTAGTCGGCGTAGTGTAGGGCGATCCCCCACTAGATGGGGTGACGACCTGGTAAGACATGCAGGAAGTCGATGGATGCAGGTGGCTGAGGATCGTGCTTTGTGGCATTACTTGGGGAGGCCTATGTTCAGCAGTGGACTTGTGAAGGGCTGTAATGATGATGATGAGTCGGCCTGTATTACATATCCTATAACCTATAACTATGGAAACTGATTTCAACCATGGCGAAGTATATGCAAAAATTGTGAATAATCAGTAATTGCAGATACTATCCTACCGATATTATTGTACCATATAATTGCCGTTTCGTGGTAGTAGCTTCAGAGAGTCCATCAGTCCATTTCGTAACTTAGATGTCTTAAGAAAACAACTATGGGATAAGGCAGAAAGGTCTTGTGACTACCGCGAGATATATAGCCATCTCGTTTACACCAGGTGTGGAATACCAAGGCCGGCGAAGGACAACAGTATCAATTGCGTGCAAAACATCAATACGCCTGCTATAAATACGCTACTCAAAATTGCGCCATGTTCAAAAAATTGTTAACACATCTTTCAACTCAGTCTATATCTGTCAAAATACAACCGTGTAGCTAGAAATGTAGAAACGAAAGATTACCTACATATTAGGTATTATGTACCAGTCCTTTTACATTTCACGAGGTTGCAATTTATAATAATAATATAAAATAAGAACATTTCGAATTCAACGGTCCTGCGCTGTGCGCCAACTCATTCTGAAGCAGTGAACTGAGTCAACGCAATTGCGCGGCACAACGCAGTACCACACATGTCTATTACGGGCTGATGATGAAAAAAGTATTTAAAAAGATAGTACCATCAATCCTGCAGTAAAGCTCAACATTATAACATCCTATATGAATGAATCTAGGGCCAGGATAGTGCACTGACCTCTTGACGTTATCGTTTGATTGTATAATTTAATTGTATAATTGAACATAAATCATTATATCAGAAATACTTGAATATAGAGCAAATATTAAATAGCTATATAACACAAAACTTAAACTAGAATCTATACATATAATAAATCCGTAGAAAAGTCGTGTCTATAATTGTAATATATTCTAGAAAAAACAAATTCAGGGGACTAAATAAAGGGTACTGGAGCCAAATTAGAAGTTTTTAGAATTTTCGTCTGTATGTCTGTCTGTATATTCACGGTTCACGCCCTTAGTACCCACGGTAATTAATAGCCCGGGGCAACTTACATGCTACTTTTTATCCGGATACGGAACTTTAAAAAGAAGGTTAAGTATTTTCCTTCCTTGAGATGTTACTTTTCTATTAATTAAGATATGTTAGTTTAAGGTGGGATGACGGGTGTTTTTTCAAACAAAATACCATATTTATAATTAAAATTAGTTTTAATCTTTGTATAAATGATTTAAACGACGTCGTCCATCTACGTTGACTAATCTGCCTGCAATTATTTAAAAATTCCCATTATCTTTACAGTTTGATCAAAGAGGTTTTTATATACCTATGTCGTGGTCAGATCTTAGAACTGATCATATCATAAAGTAGTCTATCATTTCATGGAATGGTACTATTTCATGATATTTAACACTTTTTATTGACCGTATCATGATATAGCTTGACCAAATCAATGAATAGAGATCGTTTGGCCGGGAATTTACCGCAATTACCTACTTCGTTTGGCAAAATGAGTAACGACACTGTTATATTTAATACTGTGTACCTACAGAAAACTGTGATTAAGAGAGATGCTCTTTAGTTGAATATATTAGGTGTCTATCGGCATAGCTTTAATTTCACTAACTTCATTTACTATGAGATTTTAATCTCTATTTGATAGAATTGTTCGTGGCATCTTTGGATGTCTAATTATTAGGTAAATGTGGTCAACAATTGCGCAAAAATTTCAGTTTTTATGAATTTTATTCAAACAAATACGAGAACCGTGTGGCTCGCCGTGAGATATCATTATGGCACGGGAGCAAAACGTGCACGATTCCCTCGAGGACAAATTAATCTGTTATAGGAAATTTTACGTGCTAACTTAGCACGTATCCGGTGAAGTGGTGAATAATAACTTCGTGGGGAAACCTAGATGTCTAAGTAGTTAAAAAGTATTTTAAATGCAATTTGATGTGTCGATTTACCACGTTCTCGGCGGTGAAGGAAAACATCGATAAACCTGCATATCTGGTTCCCCAGTTGAGGTTATCCTGTGTCAGGGTCAGCGCAGCGAATACTTTTTTGACCAAAAATTGTCTGCGACCTGTGGCCTGTAATGACGAGATGTAGGCTGCTGCATTTTGACTTTATGAGGTAATTATGCGTAGAACTCATCATCGTCATCATTACCAAGAAGATCAAATAGGCTGGATAGTTGGGGGCGGTAGAAGAGAATCCAGCACCTCATGTGCTGGATTCTCTTCTACCGCCACAACAAGACGAACATTTTTCTACTACCGTTCATGAGTGTGGTTCTACCCACGTTCACTGTGAATAGAACTTCATTTGGAATAAAACTAATTTTAAGAACTTTAACTTTTTTAACACTTTACAGCACTCATAGTCACGTTGTGGGGAAGGGGAGACTGAGTCCTTTGACATCCTGATGTCATAATTAGAAAAGGCTACCTTCAACTTTTTTTAATTAATGTTTGGTTCTATCACGCATCTACACACAACGACTTTGCAGTATCCTAAAGTCTTGCAGTAGTATGCTTGGGCGTGGATTTAATTTTATTATTTATGAATGGATGCCAAGCAGATGGTAGCACCAAGCTACGTCCTCTATTGAAATTAGGATTTTTTTTATTTCAATAGCCTCGCAATTCATCATTTGTAGGAATCAGGGTTCTTTTGGATTTATGGCCTATCAGGTCTTATATAATGGTTAAGACGATACTGAACATGTTGACATACTTCAGACTTTCCGGAGCATCGGTGCCTCACATTAACGATATGTTTTTCACGCGGGTTTTTATGGATTTTTCATACCAAGATGCGTAAAAAGACCCACGTAAAAAAAGTTTAAATTAAACGCGAAAAATTCGTAAATTTAATTTTATTCCATGTGTAGTATACGCGTATATATAAGAAATCAATATAGACCTTCATTCATGAAATTTTAATAACTCAAACATAAAAATAATGTCAGCATTTATTTTATGATGCCAAACAACATTAAATGGGACCAATGATATGAATCAAACGTAGGAAATAAACATTATACCGTAAATCAATAGAAGACTATGAAATTCGTTATTGTTTTGTTAAAACTAAATTAACTTTAATTATGAAATAATGTAAAGCGTAAAATGTAAATAACGCAATTTTGATCTTTTTGTCAAACAACTCTTTGACGCAAAACAAAAGTAGTAGGTGTCTATAGTTTATATGTATATTCTGAAAAACTTGTTTATTCACGTGTTCCTATAACATATTATATTTATACCAAATATGAATCATCTAAATCCAGTAGAGAGAAATCAAAAAAATTCTTTGACAAATATAAGTAATATATATAATATATTAATATATAATATAATACCTAGGTGTTAAAAAATGAAGGAGTAGCCACTTTGAATTAAAATTAAACCTGCGTGTTCCAAGATTCGCGATTAAAACTTTTTTAAGTTGTAATCGATAAGATTCTAAATTCAAAAATGTTATTGAAATTCTACTCTTAGATTTTCTACTACTTTAACATTCATTATTTCAATAAAGCATGGAGACTTCAAAAATTAGAGTAATTTTCAAATACGAGTTCTGACGCGGAAGATCTATTCTCTCTCGCAATATCAATGCTGCGTTTTAAAAGGATACGACTAACGAACGTACTATGCATTTTTTTATAGTATAAGAGCGAAAAACGTGCACACTGTCTACCTGATGGTAAATGGATATAGATCAATACTAGATAAAGAATCAAATGCAGATGCGTTGTCATCCCTGAGGACCACAGACTATTATGATGTGAGAACTAACATGGAATGCCTCGTATCCGGTCGTTGGTTCTTTACACACAGTATCATTAAGCTGCTATTTAACGCTGATATTCTGCGAGAACATGGTTCTGCCCCAGTCAAGCCAACCCATTCGTACAACAACTATAATAAATCTGCTGGCTCTAGCACATGCGCGTTTTTGGCTTAATCGCTTTCTTAGTGAAAATATCGACTTGAAGAACAAACCACTAGGAAGATTAGACACTAAAATAAAAAACGATGATTTTTAAGTATGATTGGAAGCAGATCTTATCAAACAACCTACGAACTAGCGTTATGGTATTTAGCAAGTAAGTTATTGCATTTAGCGTATGGTAATGATGACAAAACTCTCAGCGAAACAATTCCGACTCATCAATCGACGGTGATTACTCCATGTTAAAGCAAGACCTCACAACGCTCTACAAACCGTTTTAACTTCACAGTTAGAAAACATTTGTCGACACTTGTTACACTTACCAGATCCAGCCCCAACCAACGGTAATGAGAGCGTCCACGACTTTTTCTTCCACCAGCAGCGACACTTAAAAGTGAGGTGTAGTATTTGACAGATTTTAAAGCGAGGAAGCTAATTTGTTCAAAAGATGTTAATTCTTCTTTCTGTACCATGAGTTACATTTTCTATTTATTGGATTAAAATAAATAAACCTAATGACAGATATTCAAAAATTTGGAACAAATTAAAGAGCAAAGCATTGAGGCATTATTTTGTGTAGACATTAATATATTGCTCTAGAAACTGATAGATTTTTATTTTAAACTAACTTCTTAATTAAATGACATTGGGTGCGTTGGGCAGAAAAAAGCGCTAGCAAGCGCTTGTAAGCAAAATGGCGTCAATCGTATAGCGAGTAAATGGCGCATTAAATTGTAAGTAGCTATTTTCCTCCAGGACACAATGTTAGTTTTAACCGGGGAACCTAACCTAATTTAAATATATGTTTGTAATGTATTCATATTAAAAACTTACCAATCATGAATTTTTATTAACATGTATATGTCTATTCATGTCATTGTATTACTTAAAACTAATATTGCACAAAACAACTTATAAACTCTATTTCAAAACAAACAAATTAAATAAGCAAAATGGCGGATTGTGTCAGCGCTACTGAAGTAGCAATCGTGTCCTGGCCGAAAACTATTTCAGCGCTTATAAGCGCTTGCTAGCGCTTTTTTCTGCCAAACGCACCCTGGTAACAAAAACTTCACCTCAATGTCAACTAGCGGCGTCAGGTGATCGGAAGATTATTAGCCCTCAGCGGCTATATATAGCTAGAATACCATTATTTGGGTAGGATACCATTATTTAGATTACTATACCATTCCGATTTTTTATTGTAATTTGAATAATTTCTAGCAAAGAAAATAATTTTATTCTCAGGAAGCGGTACAAAATTCCTTCACAGATTTTGTCAGAGAGAGCTCAGATCCCCAGTGTTCTATCGCAAAGGCATGACTAATCTTTCCTTGAGATGACTGACACAAATACTTCTATAAATGTATTTTCCTTAGGAAATTGGCGTTTGAATTTCTCAATATAAAACGGCAATTTCTAATCTTTTCCCTATTAATGTCTTAGGGTGTTCACAGATTAATGACACACAATCGTCGACCAAACAGCGAGCGACGCGGCGGCGTCGTCGATCGTTCGTTTGTAAGCGTTCTTATGGAACGTGGTCCTTAAAAGCTCGCAGAAGAAACACGCCACACATTGCCCTATATAAGTATGCAGTATAATATTTATAACTATGGAGTGTAGAAGTAAGGAATACTGAAAATTATCCATAGAAAACGGTTATTTAAATTGCCCCCCTATATCAACGGAGTAAATTTTAAAGAACGCACCGAAAAATATTAGTGAAATAGAAGACTTTTTCGAGTTTATATTTAATAAATAAAATTATTTTAGGTTTTAGAGCTACTGAGCAGTTTAGCAGCAAACTTAAACCGTCGACAACTATAGTTCATTAGTGTAAGTTCATTTCATCTCAGTAGCTACTCCAGCGCTGTTGTGGAGGGTTTTTGAACTTTTATTTATTGCTTTAAATGGACACTTTTTCAATTATTATCTTATGAGAGATTGTCCTCCTTACTTCTACACTCCATAATTTATAACATATAACGTTCCAAGGTTGATCCATGCAGACATTCATGAAATTGTTACTTGTAATCTTAAGTGCTGATTTACTGCGTGCTCGTGCTCTAGAAATACAAAACAAAAACAACAACAAAAATATGTACCAAAAACCAGCTCAGAAGTGAAAGGTTCGTGCTCAGTGATGGAATATGTTTAGGCAGTTACTTTTGCTTTATTTAAACAAACATAATACATAAACACTCACCCCTGTCAACCGGTGGGGTAAGCGGAAACTACGGGCTTCCATTTGGCACGACCCTGACACACCTCTCTCGCCTCCTCTACATCCATATACCTACGCATACATGCTCGTCGATTAAGGGTACACTGGCCCATCGTCAATATTCAATATGTCGGTAAATTTGTTCGATAATTTTTCGTGTACGGCGTCTTTTCTGCGTTAATTGTCACTTTGGGTGTTTTTTTATGTTCAGCACTGAATAATGGGCTGTAATGATAGCATTGTTGCGAAAATTGCGATTAGTTATTGACGACTCGGTAGTACAGTGGATAGAGTTTGAGTTGCGGCACTGGGGGCCAAGGGTGCGAAAGCCACACGGCGCTAAGTTTGTATGGCCGTAATAATTGTTTCGGGTCTGGATTAATTGATATAAAATGCCTTCACAACGCGGAAGAAAATGCTACCTTGCGGGTAACGTTCTTATTTTTATAGAATAAAGAAGACACACGAGCACACAGTCCGCCTGATGGTACTCGTAAGTGGATACTGTGCATATTATTACTGCAAAATTATACTCAGTTAAGTATCAAAATGCAGATGCATTGTCATCCTTAAAGACTTAGGTGGAATGCCTCGTTTCCAGTAAAAGGGAAAACGACAGCATTAAGCTGCTATTTCACGCTGGTACTTTGTGAGCGCATGGTCCCCGGTCGAGCTGTACCACATTAAAAATAATTTTTTTGGAAAATTTGTCCATTTTTAAAATTAAGTTTATAAAATACAATTAAAGCTTTCTACTAACTAATACGGTTCAACGTACTCAGCAACATCATTAATAAAGCACATCACAAGTTCATATAGTATCGACTCCTGTATCACTGCATCACTTCGCTTACCGGTTGCCACTCGAGAACCTTACTTATAGCCCATTGCCACTTCAGCTTACTGATCCGTTGGTATATGTCGGTTAATCTGGTACTTCTATAGATATCCGAATTACGAAGTCTACCACACAACGAAACTCCCCCCATTATAAATATACTCATCTTCATAGCTTACTTAGCGATCGTGAACTACCTCATACGGCTAGCAGTGAAAAACCACGTCACAGAATATCTCATCACTAGCAACACCCACTGGGTGTTCCCTCTTTTTTTCCAGTTTTGAGGTCTACGTGACGAGAAGATGTATCACCATCTCCCGGACGCTGCCCACTTCAGTTGAATCCGTCGATAGAAATCTCTTATAAGTTATCCACAACTTGAAGCGTAGTAATCTCAACAACTACCGACATAGGTGTGACATAGACGTTTCACATGACCTTTAACTTGTCTATGTTCATTTTAAGAACAAAACCGTTTTATACACAAATTTTTTTGTTGATAACACGTAAAAGATTTATTTACCTAAGTTAAAAAATTCGACATGTATCACTGAATTAAATATTTTATTATTATACTTTATAAATAAAATTTCCAATCGTATAGTTCATATTCATGTGAATTGATTAGGATACTTTTTAAAACAATTTATTGTTATCATTATTCGCCGATAAATAGATACTTCATCTACTCTACTCGAAGCACACTAATCATTATATTATTATAAAATGACCGCACTTGTAAATTGAGTTAAAAACGTAAGCTAGTAATGTTTTGAATTAAAAATACTTATCTCTTATAATTTCGTATTATTTGTCCTAAATCTATCCTTCCAGAACTACCTTCTTTACATTTACAAATAATTTGCATTTGCTGACGAAATATTTCTAATTGTTATTGAGCAAATTACACATACCTTTCCCTCAATATACGAATTTCAGATGTACAATCTTCGGGTGATCCTCCCGACCAAGAATGAGCTCGACGCAATCTACCCGAATCAGGCAGAGAGCATCGTCCGCCCCACGTGGCCGCCAATTCCTCAGCATGTGTAGAAGTCTTCATTAACTTACTATCGAAAGCTATTGTCTCAATTGATGATGTCATTGCATCACCTGTACTATTAGAATTATTTCCATCAACGCTAGTCCTCACTTCACCTGGATTTGTTTCTGGTAACAGTTTCGCGCTTTCGTCTTTATCGTCACAGCTATTCATAACGTACAATTAATTTTGTAACTATTTACGAAATATTCTTAGGTGCCAATATTAAGTATGTGGATTACACAAAATCTCACTTCCTCGGTAACGACGGTTATAACAAATTATAAACAAATAGGTTCATTATCGGCGTGTCATTACACCGAGTGGCGGCTACCGACTACTTAACTTCAACTGTGCACCGACCTACCTTCCGTATCAATAATTATCCGTATCTTATCGGGTGTAAATGGGTGTAAATAAAAACTTCCGAAGGGATAAGGGCACTTGATTTATTTTCAGGATTTAGTGTAATTCCAAATAACAATAATTTATATCATTTTAATATGGAAACTAAATTTAAAAAAGTAGTTTATTAAAACTTTGAATAGGTGCATATTTTATATTAATAACATTTTAAAAAACATATTGTACAAATAAAAAGTTGAAATTTGATAACGTTAATTCGTTTTTATCGAATTATTGTCTATAATGTAAGTATATTATTGAATGGGTAGTACACGCTATTTTAAATATTACTTGTTACTTAAACAATAAGTTTAATTAAAGGCTCAACAAGTATATTATTATAAATAAGGTAAAGGCACCTTAATCCGTGGGGTTCTAAAATTGGTACCATTTTCCAAAGTACTTAGAAAATGGTGGAGTCATGCTACAGCTATATTATGGTTGTATTTTTTTATAGGAGAGGGGTCAAACGAGCACATGGCTCACTTGATGGTAAGTGATTACCGCCGCCCATGATCAACTGCAACACCAGGGGAATTGCAGATGCGTTGCCAGTCTTTTAAAAGGGAGTAGGCTCTTTTCTTGAAGGTCCCTAAGTCGTATCGGTAGTCGATTCCACAAGGAAGCTGTGCGAGGAAGTAATGGGTCGGCTTGATTGGGGAAAGACCACGCTCTCACAGAATATCAGCAGCTTAATGCTGCTGTGTTTCGTATGATAGAGTGTAGAGAACCGGAGGCCCTTTTTACCGAAAACGATGCATTCCATCTAAGTTCTCAGGAGTGGCACCGCATCGTCATTTTCAATCTTAATCGAAGATAGATGAAATGTCTATGGGCCACAGCATCCAATTACCATCAGGTGAACTGTGTGCTCGTTTGTCACATTTAATCTATTAAAAAAGGTATGGAGATAAGTTATAGTTGAAATAATGAAAGCCATGAAATGCATGAAGGCAGATAAGGCAGCCGGATATGATAGATTATCGAAATGCTAAGGGCTGTAGAGAGAGTGGTCGCAGGCCTGCTGTTAACTTTATTTAATTTATGTTTGAAACTGAAGCGAGTACCGGGAGACTGGTGCCAAGGGATTATAGTTCCAATATATAAGGGAAAGGGTCAGGTCAGGTCACAGCAGGACTATAAAATCTACCGTGCTACCTATCACCGTGGTTTAGCCCGCTTAGCATTGTGGAAAAACTGTATGTAACCTTAGTTAATTAAGAGAGTTATGAGAGAAACTGACAGGAGAGAATAATTTGGGATGTGCAAGCTGAATTTGGAAAGGGAATGAGGTGTACCGATCAAGTCTTTTCCATGCGCCTGATCGCGGAGAAGTTTTCGGCCGTAAAGTGAAAAAAAAATTGTACGCTCATGGATTTGGCAAAGACTTAAAACAGAGTGTACAAGGAAGTTTAATGGCAAACACTGAACTCATTTGGGTTGAGCGCTGGGTTGATACAGGCATTAAAATCTCTTTATAGGGACTCTATAGTGTTTGTGTCAGGGTCAACAGGGCCTACGCTGGTCCACAGAGGTGTCAGAAATGGCTGTGTAGCTTCCCCGAGCCTGTTCAACCTATTTATGGGCAATTGTTTGGAAACTTTGAAAGTTGAAGAATTTGGGTTAAGAATGGGCGAGTTAACCGTCATATGCCTTTTGTACGCCGATAATCAAGTCATATTTGCCTTGTCGGCGGCCGAGTTGCAAATTATGATTACATTAATGAACATGCCATTAAAATAAAGGGGAATAAAAGTGAACGCAAGTAAGATGAAAGTGATGGGTTTTGAAAAATAACAAAGTAAAACGATATGTGAAATAAGAATAGAAGGTCAAGAGTTGGTTGAGCAAGTTGATATGTTTGTATATTTGGGATGTGTATTTAGCAGGGATGGTAGACATGATAAGGATATAGAACGACGAGTGAACCCAAAAAATATGGTAAATGGGCCACTCTATTGTTTGAAGTCAGAGTTGCTGTGTTAGTCCCTACCTTAATGTATGGTAGTAAAAGTTGAATGTGGCAGAATAACATAATAACATAACATAAACACTCACGCCTGTTACCCACAGGGGTAGACTACAGACTTCCATTTGGCACGATCCTGACACACCTCTCCCGCCTCCTCCACAGCATATACCTACGCATAAATGATCATCGGTTAAGGGTACTCCTAATTTGGCCCGTTTTCAATATATCGCCAATTTGGTCGATAAACTTTCGCCTAGGACGTTCCTTTCCGACTCTGCCGTTCACTTCGACAATATAAAATTGCTTTGTCACTCTTTCCTCATTCATTCTTTCCAAATGACCAAACCACTGAAGCATTCCTTTCTTAATCCCGTTCACAACATCATCTTGCAAACCACATTATTCTCTTATCACACAATTTCTCACCCTGTCATTCAGTTTCAGCCCTAACATACTCCATAGAACAAACGCAGTAGAAATTGCGGTCGCGGCAGAATAAAAGCTATATGTAAGGACTGAATCTAAACTACAGGGTGAGAAATTGTATGATAAGGAAAAAGTGTGGTTTGCAAGATGATGTTGTGACCAGGATTAAGAAAGAAATGCTTTAGTGGTTTGATCATGTAGAAAGAATGAAGGAGGAAAACGGATAAGTTTATACAAGCACATTCTACCGCGGCATATACACACCTATAATACAGAGAGTTCACAATTTTACAAAGCTTGTGATTATGAGGATGGATGCTCATTATGCAATCAATTCAATTCAATTCATTCACTGTAGGGTTTGTGAAGGAAAATCAAAATTAGTCAACAACACCTTGCCAATTAGTTAATTGCGTTATTAAAAATTAAATAAACTTATCAGGTCTATATCCACGGCCATGATTATTCATATTTTTTAAATTATAATAATTTTGACTGTAGGACAACGAAGCCAAGAAAAAATATACAGAAGAGGATCTCGAAAACGCTATTACAACGATCAAAAATTACTGTAGCTTTCAGGAATACAGCGTTTCAAAAACCACATTGCCAGATAATCGCGACAAACAGTATTGTACTTGTGTACCAGAAATAAAAATGGTACCCACGAAATCAGAAGAAACAAAATTTGTTGAGTGGATTCATTTTCTAGTAAATGAGGGTTTTTCAGTTTCTAAAGAACAATTAAATCAATATTACATAACTATCAAATGTGTCCATAAACGAAGTCAAGTATAATTATAGTTAAATATATCTTATATAATTAATTTTACTGGTATTTTATTATCTTAATTGAATATTGTGATATCATTTTATTAGAACATTAAAACCTCATCTAATAAGACTGGGATTTAGGAACGATTAAATTCTAAATGAATAAATAGAGTGGATTTTTTGAACACCATTCACGAACACTATGTGTTATTCTTCCTACATTTTTCTTTTGAATTTTGTACACTCGGAATTAAAAACCGAATGCATTTCAATAAGAATTTTTACATCTGAATAGGGTGGCTCCGACTTCTTGTCACATTTAACTAATTTAGAATACAAATCAAGATCTAATAGCCAAACCTATTGTCTATTTATTACACAGTAACAATGATTTCTACGCTAGTAATATATAAATCAATGCACAATAATAGCTTAATTTTCGTTATGCTTTCAAGTTTTCTTGAAAATACTGCCTTGTAATATTTACCCTATTAGCCCTTACCTTGATTGGTATTTGTTGAGCCTTCAACTGTCGCCCACTTAGAGCGTCGGCATTGCGTTGTTCTTGTAAAAAGATAAATCTAAAGCCAAAGTGCATACATAGCGTATTAACCTTATTTTTCATTTTGAATTTGCGATTTTTTACCAGAAATCAAAATAAAGAAGTCCATATTCTTATACTGGAACTAATCTTATTTAATAAATTTAAAATGTTAATAAAAAGTATTAAGCCAACATGAATAAACTAAAAAGAATAAAATAATTCCCACGTTTTTCTTCTGAAGTCGGTGTTAAAAATAGAAACATTAATACTTCATTCAACCCAATTCTACTTCCTTCAATCTTTAGGTTCAAAACACATTTATATGAACCCTGATGATACATACCCCTGAAGTATAAGCTATATAATAAAAGATTAAAAATCTGTTCACAATTGATGAAAATATCGCGTAACATACAGTTTATTAACAGTTGAACTGAGAATTTCCTCCTTTTTCAAGTCATCCCAAATACACAATTTTAAAATTAACTTTGCAAACATCTGCCTATACCTGAAACCGAATCATTTTCAATGGTTATAATATTGAATCTACAAATAATTAACTAGTATGGTAATTCATAATATCATCGAATAATAAAACTTATTAATAGTATGCAAAATTGCGTTTTTCTTTACATCTTTACTATATGCGAAAAAACCTTATGATAAAAAATGTCTTAAGGAAGTTGTATATCTACCATAGCAACCGAACTTGCGGCCAACCTGGTTATTATATGTACATATTATTTTTATATATAGCCGTTTAAACCGCAAAGAAGCCGCCGCGCCGGGCCGTATTCGCATTTCGCGCCAAATACCGCAGTCACATTTCGTTTCTTAGTTTCTTAGCTTGGCTTGATAGTAAGTAAGTAAAGTAAAGTTACAGCCTATATATGTCCCACTGCTGGGCACAGGCCTCCCCTCATTTCTGAGAGGGTTTTAGGGCAAGGAAGTGTCCGCCGCGCTGCCCCAATGCGTGTTGGCGAACTTCACATGTCTTCGAAATATTTTTTTCTTATTCCTCAGACATGCAGGTTTCCTCACGATGTTTTCCTT